TTTAATTAAATATTTTATTTATATATCTAATTTAAATACTTAAAAAGTAAAATATTTGTAAAGAATTCTATAAAAAAAAATTACTAATACAGAAATATTAGAATTTTTTTTTTGGTATTGTTTGTTTTGTTTTGTTTTTTTTTTTTTTATGTTTAGGTGGAATAGAAAAAAATAATAAGAAGAGAATGGAAAACGGGTGATGGTTACTAACAATGGTAGGGAATATAGTAGAATAAAATAGGGTGATGGGGAAAGAGAGTGTGTGTGAGGAATATAGGATAATAATAAAAAAGAGATATAAACAAAGAAAAGCTGGGTGTGTTGTGTTGTTCTGTGTGCGTGTGTGCAGGGCGGAGCATGTGCTGTGTAGCCAATGTGTCTGTTGTGTTGTGTATGGGAATGTGTGTGTGTGGTGGGTATATCAGTCAACAACATGATCAACACCCATTATGCTCTATCCCTCAGCAGCTCAAAACCTGAGAGAGAGAGAGAGAGATCAGTGCGGATGAAAGTAAAGAGTGATTGATGGCAGATTTGTGGTAGTATGTAGCTCTCAGACGGCGACGAGGCCGCTAGCTTGATGATCGGAGACAGTGACATTGACGACAACGATGATAGAGACAATGGCGACGACGGTGAATGACACTGAGATCAGTGAGAGTCGGTGATTGATTGAGATCTGAATAGATTTGTTCTGAGATCGACGGCAATCTGATGCCTAGTTTTGCCATGGAAGCTGTTAGAGAGAAAAAAACTAGGGCTTGTGTGAAAGAGAGAAGGCGGAGAAGGGAAAGGCATCGGAGTCGCGATGATGTTCTTGAGGCAACGATGAGTGACGCAAGATTGAAGGAGTTGTGTTGAAGGAGTTCATCAGCTTCGAAGATGTGCGTGAAACTCGGGAAGCTGTTGCAGAGAGGAGGCCTTGGCCTGGAGAGAAAGAAACTCTCCGGCAGTCCGAGCTTGAACCGGAATCCGAAACCAGAGAGCTGCCCTTCCGTTCAGATGGAGCAACAGATTCATCAACTAGGAAGCAACGGTGGTGAAGGAGAGAGGATTTAGGCAGTGATGGAAAGGTATGTGTAGAAAATAAGCGGAATAGGTTGAGGTCCGGCGGGCGGCCAAGGCGAAGTTGCCGCCCGCCGGTGAAGCAAAAATGCTAGGTTCTAAACCTGCTCTGATACCATGTTAAAATTGATGTATTATTGATTGATGTGTTGAGATATATTACAATGATTCATGATTCCTATATATAGAAGAGGGTGAGTGTGTAGTAGGTGAGGAGTAGGTGAGGAGTAGGTGGAGAGTAGGTGAAGTAGGTGAGTGTGTAGTAGGTGGTAGTGGTAGGTGTGTAGTAGGTGAATTTTAACAAGATGTATTCTTTGACCATGGCTGTTCCTTGAGACTTATAAATGAAATTGGGATGGGGTTCACTTTCTTATATGATAGACAGAAGGTAAAGTTTAAAATGTCAAAAGTGCATAGTTTTATATATCGTACTGTTAATTACTTGGAATTCGTTACTGTATACTTACTATGCAATCTGATTTCATATAGGACTGGTTGAGACGTTCGATCTTTTGATGCTAGGTGTCGAACATACGTTTTGTGTTAGGCATTTATATTATATGCCAATTTCAATATCAGATTCTAGGTTATGGAATTAAAAGGCTTAATTTAGCATGTATTTAAGCAAAACATAGATAAAATTAAGGAAATTAACGCTGATGCACATTATTGGCTCATGCATATCCCACCTGAATGATTGACCAAGTCTAAGTTCTCATGTAGATCCAAATGTGATTTATGCTTGTCATTATGCACATAGGTAAGGCCTTGGACATGCCTTTGTTGATTATTTTTGAAATGATAAAGAGACAAATTGGAATGGATGGCAGGGTATATGGTCCTAGTTGTGGTTATGGCAATTGGAATGGGTTGGGCATGTGCACACCTACTTGTTGGATAGCTTGATGTTGATGTACATTGTTGGGCCTAACCTTTTAGAACAATTGGTGACTTAACAAGGTGTCAAAGCCCAGTTTTTTTTTTTTTTTTTAAACTGAAAGTGTCAGAGCTCAGGTTGAGAAGAGGTATTGCATTCAACTTTCCTGTTGGCATTTGGTTTTCAGTCCGTGTTTAGTTTCTTCTTCTTTGTTTTGTTGTTTGTTTATTGTAGAAAAGAGATTCAATGGGTGAATGGTGTATCCATTGATGTTCCCATCTGTGATCAAGTCCAAAATTTCTAGTTTAACAATTATTGTGCCATTATTTTCTTATTTTTCATAGTGCTTACTTAAATGTAAATATTAATTGTTTGGCATGTAATAAACACTATAAAGAATTCATTGAGATAGTATTAAGTTTTGTTATTTGGATGTATGTGGTTAAGAATTGTTCTTCCAAATCACTTTGATTTTGATACTTACATTTGCTTTTACTTTCATTCCTCATAATTAATTTTTTTTCTTCTCACAAGGTTGATTAAAAAATATTGTTTATTTGTTGTTTTGGATTATATGAATTGATTTAATTTACTTTAGTGAGTTTATATCTTGATGGTTGAAATTCTTCAAAATAGTTTGCTTGAGGCATGAGGTCCACATCTTGAGTGGATTCTTTTTTTTGGGTACAACAGAAGGGGAAAATAGATATGTAGATAGGTTACTCCACATACCTACCACGGAGTATTGTCCCTTAGCACACACAGTGTATCTACAGGGAATCCCACTGCACCTACGTCGGGCCCGGAGTTAAAGCTAAGGCCCCCGCTTGCTATGGGCACTAAAAAGTATGTTTAATCCCAATAAGGGGTTATGGAGATTTGAACCCAGACTTTGAGCGAGAAATTCGAACATCTTACCACTGAATCAATCCCTGTGGTATCTTGAGTGGATTCGGTGGACATATGAAATGTTGATAAATTAGGAATATACTTCATTTTAGTTGGGTAAGATTGTGTTTGGAAGTGCCTTCAGGCACGAATCATTTTCATATATATTTTAAAGTTAAATTTTATTTTTTATGCAGTATCATACTATAGACATAAAGCACCGATGTAAATGAACAGTAAATTTTTCGTCCTCTATAAAAGGTCTATTCTGCCCTTATGTTTGCTTTATTGTTTCATACTATAGACAGTGGGTCCTTTTGACTTAGTTTGAGGGTGTTTGTGTAAAATCAAGTTTTGTTAGGCGCTTCTCTCTCCCCTCTGCCCATTCGTTTCTTACTTGTCTTCCTCTTTCATCTTTTTAATGTCCCTCTACTCTCCCCCACCCATTGGTCTGCCGACTCACCCTAACAGGGTTCATAGATCCACAAGTTTTTTGCAGTTTCGATATGCAAAATTTTGCTTCAAAGATACCCGCTAATGCTGTAGATTTGTGTAGTCTTGGTGTTTATGGATTCATTTGTTTTCTCTATTCTTTCACTTTTCTTATTTTCTGATTTTCTCTCATCTAATAAATTATTTTTCTTTTTTATTCAATAGAGGTTTTACTGTATACTTTGTTCTGTATTATGATCCTAATTTGCTTATTCTTTTTTGTTTTGTATTGTTTGGGTTTTTATACATGTTGACATCAATCTGTAGAAGTGAAAATAGAGTGCAAACTGCTGCTTGTTGGTTATTTCTGCTTCATTCAACTTTTTGATTTTTTAATCTGATTTCCCATTACAAATTATTTTATTTTTTTATTTGGCTTTTAATTGCTTGTATGCTTTGTTCTGATCTTTATTTTATTTTAATTTTTTTTGTTTGGGTTTTTATACGTCTGCGTCGACATCGATTTGAAGAGATGACTTTTGCTTTTTGTGTCTTCCATTTATAATTATTGTTGGGTTTTCTTCTTCTTCTCTGTTTTTTTATTGCGTTTTTTTCACGGTGTTTCCTCTTTCTTTTTTTATTTTTATTTTTTCCTCTTCTTTGATTTTTTTCTCTTTTTTTATTTTATTGTGTTTCCTCTTCTTTGTTAATTTCAACTTTGGATTTGTTTTCTTCTTTTCTCTGCTCTCTGTTTCGAAATAATGTATAATTTCCAAATTTTTTTGTAACCTATTTTTTGTTTCGGTATTTGTCTTCCTTTCTTTTTCTTCTTTTGTTCAGCATTGTCACATCCACATGTAGCTATTTCTTGAGAAGTTTTGCAAAATAGAATGCCTGGTGCAGGGTTGTTGCTGTCACCTGTTACTTATTTTTGCCTCTTTTTCGGCTAAGCAATTATTTATTTATTTATTTATTTTTTGGGATAAATAAAGCTAACCAATTTGCTAATTCTATCTTTGTATATTGATCATCTTTTTATTTTGTATTTAGATTATATTATTGTTGCATATCTGTTTCTATTTTGACTTTTAATCCGGTAAATTCTTGTAGTTGTTTATTATATCTTGTTCATAATAGATAATTTTAAATGAAGAACTTACGTTTTTTGGTTCTATTTTACTGCATATTTTGTTACAAAAATTAATTTTTATTTTTGTTGATTAGATCGTAGTGCACAAAATAGAAAAGGGTCTTTGGTTTGGTTGAGCTGATTACATGTTTCTTCTTTGTTGGTTTTAAGTTAACAAATATTTTGATTGAGAGAAACATTTTAGCTGGTACTAATAATGCTTCGTGCCCATTTTGTCAAAGTGAGATTGAATGAGCTTCACATGTTCTATTGCGTTGGATTGCATGCATGCTTCGAATGTTTGGAGTCAATGCTTAATGTGGTGGGGTAGTCAATGGGTATGTCTTCCTTCCTTGGGCATTTTTTTTTATGCTGATTTTCCAATCCTTATTGAGACTAGGAAAAAGAATTTGGAAAACTATAATTTATGCAGTGTTGTGGTCAATTGTTCCTATTAATTAAAATTCAAACTACTTTTAGGATTAAAGAATTTGCCAAATTTTTTTTTGTTATTCTGTGAATGATTTTGTTATGGGTTGATGGTATTCAGAGGTTTGTTGAATTACTCCATCTTGTCAAGGCCTTTGATTTTGCTTTTTAAAATCATAATTAGACTTATTAGTTAGATTTGTAGAATCCCCAATGTGATGTTGATTCTCTTATGCAAGAGGTTGCCCTTGCATAAATTGTGAAAAATTCATGGTGTTGATTTCTCCACCGAATTGCGGTGTTGCTTTTGTCAAGAATTGATAGTTGCCCTTGCTTTGTAGGATTTTATGAGGTGTTTCTTTTGTTTAGAACTGTGGTGTTAATTTCTCCACCAAATTATGGCGTTGTCAAGAATTTGAGGTTCTATCCTTTTAGTTATATTTCTTTTTGCCATTTTTGATCTCTATCAGGATTGATTGATTTTGTCTTTATGAATTCTTCCATCTTTAAAAAGAATTTGTAACTACGTGCGGCCATGCTTCCAATCTTGGAATACCTTAATGGCTATTGGAATCAAGTTCCCTCCAAGTTTTCCATAAATTGTACTATTTTTATTATTGCAGAGCTGGTGTAATATGAAGCTCTGATTGCTACTTTGGTGACGAGGTTTCTACTACTGAAATCTACCAACACTGCCTCCAACTATTTAACTAGCATTCACATGTAGGTAGTGGTATGTACATGTCATATTGCTGGAACAAGAATCTTTGAAAGATTATGTCTCATATTTGTACCCATGCAAAAATAAATAAATAAATAATTAAGAATCTATTATGTAAAGTACTGATTACAATTTTTCTATTTTTATTTTCAGGTTTTCATGGATTTGGCAATGCCAAAGAAATGAATTTTATGGCATACCGAAGTACTCAGATAAAAACCCTCTTCCTCAGTTTTGCTTATGTTGATCGGAAATTCTCAGTTAGATTTGTATTTCCACGTAGAACACGATTTACAATATTTGAAACAAAAGTAGGATTTTAATGTTAGGAACGGAAGAAACATAGCTTAAAATTATATGATGGGAAGTGTGAAAAATCAGTTTAGAATAGGATGAGAAACATATTGATAAACAATTTTTTTGTTTGTTTGTTTGTCTGTGTGGAATTGCATAGAAAAGGAATCCCAATCTGAATTTTACCAGATTTCATGTCTTAGAAACTCAAAAGAAAAGAAAAAACACATTTCCCAATGCTTTGCCAAATTATATGTATTATTGTGCTTATGAAGATTATCATATCATACACATTAAATGTGCAACCCAGTGCATGAGGACCACATAGGCAAAAAAACAACACTCACTACAGATGTTAGCTTTGCTTTTGTGCGCTCCATTTATGCCTAAAACATCTATTTCTTTGGCATTGAAACTGCTCATCCAGGCTAGCAAGGGTAGCTCTGATGATCGGTTACAATTGGACTCCTCTTCCCGGTCGACACTTTGGGTTGCACCGTGTACACTTGGCCTTGGAGGTTTCGAGCATTATCCCAGATTATCAATTGCTCAACCAGGCAACTCTTTTGCTCAACCTCATCATACATGTTCACAAGTTAAAGGGTAACTTATGCAAATGATCCCAGTAGTTTATCTGCTTTTTCATTTTAGTTTCTGTTGTTTCAATTTGATCAATTGTGTCCCTTAATTTTATGGATTGTGTCATATTAGTCTAATGAATAACAGCGGTTAAGTTTGATAGATGAAAAATCAAATGATGTTTCAATTTGGTTATTGTAATTTATAGGATGTGTCAATTTGGTCTTTGTAGTTTATAGGAAAGTCAAAACAATAAGGATTAAATTGACACATCTTGTAAATTACAGGGACCAAATTGAAATATCGTTTGATTTTCCGTCCATCAAACTTAACTGCCGTTATTTATTGGACTAATATGACACAATTCGTAAAATTAAGGAGTAAAATTGATCAAATTGAAATAACAGGAATCAAAATAAAACAAAAGTAAACTACAAGGACTACTGCTGCCCTAAGTTAAAAGTTAGTGTATGAATTTGTTAAACCTTGTCAAAAGAATGTAAAACACTTTGAAACCATAGCACTATACCAATTGAGGCATGGACTGCTGCTATTGCTATGGGAAATATAAAATCTTCACTCCTATAGTTCAATACCCACATAATTCAACATAATTTTCCAATTTGATTGAGAAGAGTAACATGTAACTAACTATTTCTATTTCAGGCATGGAATGGGCGACATGATGGGCCTTTATTTATTTTTTTTCAAAACTGATTTGTAGCTCGAAAAGAGCCCCCCGAATCCCCCGAATTTGAAAAAGGAAGAAGAAGAAGAAGAAGAAGAACTGGAGGGGCCAACATCAACCGGGCTGGGCTGCGACGGCCTCGACCCTCGATCGGCGGAGGCGCGGCGATCGGCGACGGCCTCGACCCTCTCTTTTCTTTCTCTCCCTCTCCCTCTCTGCGTTTCAGACTGGAGGGAAGAAAAAAAAGAAAAAAAGAAAAAGAAAAAGGAAATTGTCCAAAATGACATCGTTTTGGGCAGTCGGGGGATTCGGGGAAAAAATCATTTTTCTTTTTTTTTTTGTTAACAAAGTGACATGGACTTTCATCAGCTGATCTTTTTGCTATCTTCAATTTTTTGATAAGTAGATGCAAAAGATCAATCATCTAGAATTTATTATTTTTGTTCTACATGATATGCCTGTTTGGCAGAACTTAAAAGCAACTTATTTCAGCTTTCAGCTTAATTTAAGCTATTTTGATGTGTTTGGTTTAGCTTATAGCTTATAGCTTATAGCTTTTTGGAAGTAAGAAATCAGCTTATTCTTTGAGTGGAGCAGGAGATGCTTAATTTATAAGTCAGAAATCAGCTTATGTTCATAGTTATAAGTTATAAGCTGTTTAGGCATAAGTTATAAGCACTTTTTCACAGTTCTACCAAATAGGACCGATGTTAGGGAAAATGAAACATGCATGTATACATTCTATATTTTGAAAATATGCTTTATTGTTTTATCTTTTCGAACTCTAATGAACAATCTCTACAAACTAAACTTAATTATGAACTTTTGTACATGTAGTGATGTTTTAGAAAGTTGGTAAAAAAATTAATTTTTTGATTTTTTTAGTTTATTGTCTTTTTGTGAATAAAAATTGTAAGAGGTTATGTGACTTAAAATAGGTAAAAAATTAAAAGTTGACTTTTTTTTTGGTTCCCAAAAGACTCGCAATGTAGCACATGCTATGGTATTCACATATTTACAATTGTCATTTTGGTTATGCATATATTGACATTTTTCTATCTACATTTATTAATATAAAGACAGGTTCAAAAGAAACTTATTAGTCAATGAATTTTTAAACTTGGGCCTTTTGCTTCTCCTAAATTCATTGATTTTAAATTCTGATTTTATTCATTCGTTGGTAACCACGTTTACCAAACAAAATAATCAATTGCAATCAAAAAGATTTTCATTCCTTATAACCGGCATCATATTGCGTGCAGCGCACGCAGCCACCTCATTAATTTAAGTAAAAAGATATAATACATCTAAAGAATGAAAAATATTAATATATTACATACTTGTATTGTTATTCTGTCTGTAAACAAATTTTATTTGCATAGTTGAGTATTGATTTAAATCTCCTTCTCATTAATTTTTTAGCTTTCAAAGATTGAATAGCGTTTGAAGGTGAAAGTGGCATGTTTGTTATTACCATCATTTTTGGGAGGATAAGGTTGATGTCACATTCAATTAACTCACATAAAACAAAGGAATTGACTTCTCCATATTCCATCCCATGTATGTGGATTTCATAAGTGGTTTAAATTTTTATTTTATTTTATTTTTTGATGGTTTTGAGATTTTTTTTTAAAATAAAAAAATTTGATGCGTGTGAAGTGATTTTTTTTTTAAGTGATAAACAAACAAGTTTTTTAATTTATTTAGCCAAAAATAATTTTCTTAGAATATCCCAAACAATCCATCAGAATTACAGTTGGACTTATTACAAATTTTTTTTTTCAATAATTTAAATTATTTATTTTATTGGCTCTTATATATAAATTATTGATAAAGAAAAACTCATATTCATAACAAAATAATCATATTATTTTATTATATTTAGCTTTAAACAACTGAAGCAAATGAAGAGTAAGCAAGCATATTTTGAAAAATAAATTATTTATCTTTTAAAACAATAATATAATTATAATTATTAGATCAATTTTTTTTAAAAATAATTTATTTACAAGAATAGATCAACAGAATAATTTGAATTATTCAAAAATAACCCATAAATTCATGTACTATCATGTGTAGAGGTGATATCAAATCATAACTTACACTTCGTTTGAATGAAGGGGTTTGATGAGAAAAGAAAAAAAAATAGTGAGAATAGAAAATCCCTTCATATATTTGGATGGTTAAATATGTGAGAAATTATGAGAGAAAAACTCTTACCAAAAGTTGTGAGATTTGATGAGAAAGTAAATGGGTTTAATGAAGGGAAGAGACTTATATTCAGTCCAAATCAGACTAGAGAGTTGTTGAGCTTTCGTGGGCCTACTACGGAGTCCACATTGATGATAAAAAATCGTTTAATGTTTAGAACTCGTCCAGCACTTCATCCCTGCAAAAACTTACGTTGATTGGACATCGATAGCCACTTTATCAGTTTACATTTGTGTCAACGGTAAATATAATTTTAAAAATAAATTGTTGACACAAATGTAATCTGATCAAGTGACTATCGATATCCGATCAACGTGATTTTTTTACAGGGATGAAGTACTCGACAAACTCTACACATTGATGAACAGTTCGAATTATTGATGTGGTCTCTGTGGTGGGCCCACAAAGGCCCAACAACACCATTCAGTTGGGTTTCCCAACTAGAGAGAACCTAAATTTTTAATGAAACCCAAGAGTGGTTGGCAACTTGGCAAAGGTCTGGGGATTAAGCCCCTAGGTCCCAGGTTCAAAACTCCCATGGGCCAATCTTCTGGGCAGTAGCATAGTTGGTTAGGAGGTTAGCCTCAAGCAGTTTCATCGCACTTGGTGTGAGTTCAATACTCTCTCGCTGTGCGAGTCCTGACTTAAGTGAAACTTGTCTTGAGAAGTCGGGACAAGTTCCCAGGTTATAGTTTCCTAACTCAGAACGGACAACATGACACCCTGATGATTTTTGCAAGGGGCGCTGCCTTGAACCTACGGGCGAGTGGAAGGATTTTCTTATTAAAAAAAAAAAAAAAAAAGTTCTTAACGGAACTTTTATAAAATACCAAAATTATCTTATGGTGGAAGAAGTTGAAAAATAGCTTATTAATATGAAAATTTATTTTGATAAAATGAAACAATTTTTTTCTTCTTCTTATTTACTCCTTTCAAACAAGATGGTTGAAAGATTATTTTATTTCTATTTTTTCTTATTACTCTTTCCAAACAAGATGGTTGACAAACTATATTTTTTCTCTCTTTTATTCATCCAAACACAATTATAAGAAATTATAATAATTTCTTTTATTTTCTCACATCATAATACAAACGGATTGTTATGGTTCCATGAATTATGGAACCAAATCAAATAGTGAAAAATTTTAGAATCAAATCAAACCGAACTAATAAACCACCGTTCGATTTAAAATCACGTCTCTTAAAAATATTGTTACCATTCATGACATAATACAAAATATTATTCAAAACTTAATAATTATTTAGATAATTGTTTACAACTAATTGTATCAACACAGAACAACAAACTTACGAAAGTAAAAAAATTACAATTTATATATATATATACTAATAAGATATTTGAATATTTACAATAAAAAACAAATTAATATATATATATATATATCTAAACGATTTACTTTTGTTTCAAACTAAATTCATAACTTATGTTATATGGACTTTCAAAATAAGGCATTGTTTGTCATAACTTAAAAAAAGTTAAAAAGTAACTATTCTATTTAAGTGACATCATCTTATTTAAATCGAATCATCTCTCTACCACATTATTTCAAACTCAATCCATACCCAACCCATATTTCATAAAAAGTCAAAAAGTACACTTATTTAGATCATCCCAAACTATCCCTAAATCAAATTCCTGTGTCGAACACTCGATACTCGGATAAGAATGAGATATGTGTTCGATACTTTTCAATGGACACTTCTCATATATTTATATTTAACAATATCTTACATATATTATTTGTTGTATAATTACTATAAAATACTTTTTTGATACTGTATGTTACATAATAAATTAAAAATACAAAAATATGACTCTTTTTTATCGAGTTTGCGTATTCTTAAATTTAAAATTTAAAAAGCCCAATCTCTAAGGGTCCGTTTGGTAACGTTTATGTTTTCAGTTTATATTTACAAAAATTTTATAAACTGATTTTTGTTTATTTTTAAAAAAACATAAACTACAAATGCGTTTGGTTTAGATAAAATATTTAAAAATATAAAAAAGAATGAGAAATGGCAAGTAGGAGGTGGGTGGTGACGAGTGGTGGCGGCGGAAGACGGTGGTGGAAAATGATGGCGGGTGGTGGTGGGAGAAGATGGTGGTGGAAAATGGTGGCAGGTGGTGGCACAAGACGGTGGTGGACGGTGGTGGCAAGTGGCGAGTGGATAGGTGGTGGTGGCCCTACAAGGAGGGAATGCAAGGGGAGGATTTGTGCTCCCTAGTTAAAACCCAATCCACCTCAATCCTGTTTGTTTCCACAAAATAAAACTACCCACATTTTCCAGAGAAAATTCTAGAGAGAGAGGGGAAGATTACATGTGGATGGCTTCAGAGGTGAGATGGAGAGAGTGATAAGAGCGTTCGCTGGCCAATTGGACGGCTCGAAAGTAGTCTATGATCTCGACGAACTCTTCTTTGTAAGCGATCGGGACGACAGGGTTTGGACTGTCGTCTTGGCGAACCGAAGCCACGTCGGACCACTCCGGTCTTCGGCTCAAGGGGACTCTATGGTCTTCTCCGTCTAAGTCCATATCAGAGTCCAATCAACTAAGCAATCAAGGGTTTAGTGCTCAAATATTGGAAGAAAAAAAAAATTTACAGTACTCTCAATTAATATTCTACATACCAATAACATAAATGCAAATATTTTTTTTCAGATGGAGGTAAACCTGCAAATTTGAGAGAGGCCTAACAGTAACTTCCAGTCTGATCACGAACGAACTGAAGGGAAGCCATTCCCTAATATAATAGTATAGATAATTAATAGGGATGCAATTCTTCACATTTGCTCAATAAATGTAAGACTAAGAACGCAAATATTACCGAATGATATCTAAATATACACTTACATTTGACATTCCTTCCCAAATTCATAATATAGTTCATGCGGACAAAACTATAAGCCACCAACTTGTGCCTTCATCTTTTCAAAATTTCCTGCTCCATCGCTAGACACGTGAATTGGAGAGAGAGCCACAGCCTCCCTCAAATAAAAACAAAGAAAATGTTTGAGGGTCACAATTTTTGTGGCTATAATGACTTAAAATTGTTAAAACGACGTCATTTTAGCATGTTTTGCACTCAAAACGACGTCGTTTTGACAGTTTTGAGCCATTGTGCCTACAAAAATTATGACCCTCTAACATTGTTGTAAAAACAAACGTGGCTGTGCGAATAGTAACCCGAAAGAGATTAATGAAAATGAAAAAGTACGGCTCTATTTTGTTTTAATTTTGAAATAAGATTTGAGTTTTAAATTATGTTTTAAAAGAT